TAATTGAAATTTTGATTTAAGTTAAACGTTTAACAGTATATTGAAATTAATAATTTAACTATTTTGCATAAAATCATAAATTATACAAAAATTGTGATTTTAAAATGACAATTGCTCACATACGACAAACATATTTAAACTAATAAGTTAAGTATAATATGTTAAAAAGTTAAAGTCATAATTTTATAAATAGAAGTAAAATATGATATTTTAATATCGTAATTTAGTTAATTTATGATTATAATTTAGTTTTATATTAATTTAACACTATTAACCAATTTATAATAATTATTCAGAAAGAAACTGAAAAATCATGGAGATTTCAAATGCATGTGGTGGAAGTAAAAATGCATTTTATATAAGTATATATATAGATAGATATAGATATATATATATATATATATATATATATATATATATATATATATATAGATAGATAGATAGATAGATATATAGATATAAGAGTATACCCGCGCGTCGCGCAAAACTAATATAACGTGATATGATACTCGGAATATAACGTGATATGATACTCGGTTTGCATCTCAAAAGAGTCTTACATAGAAAATATTATATACACATAACTTTTAATTAATTATTTATTTGAAGCAATACAAAACAAACAATCATATACAACACATTTAATTCAATATTAACCACATCGCATTGTAATATGTATCTGATCTAATTTACATTAACGATTCATCTTTAAACAATTTGTTTTATTTAAATATGACCAATCAAATTAATTCTAATATTTTATTAAATTTGTATAAAGTAATACATTTTGTGAGTTATATTTTTTTAGAGGTTAATGAACTTAGATTCACATGCACATAATAATATGTTTTAAATGTATAAATAATTTTTGTCAAAACATACATTTTAATAAAATAAAAACATATTTCAAATCATACAATATATTTTGGTCATTTGACATAATATATCATCTTACATTAATATTTATTTATAAATCATTTTATTTGACCCGCGACTATACTTTATCATAGATTGATGGTCAAATCAATATTAATGACTTGATCTTACGAATACATACAAAAAGTTGGAACTAAATTTGATAAATAGTCAAAGTGTGTTATTTATATAAGAAATAAATTACATAAAACAAAGAATCATTTACATAAGAAATAAATTACATAAAACAAATAATCATTTACATAAGAAATAAATTACATAAAACAAAGAATCGTTTACATAAGAAATAAATTACATAAAACAAATAATAATTTACATAAGAAATAAATATAACTTTTTAAAAAATTTATGTAATGAATATTGTTATTTTATTTTATTGTAATTATTTAAAACAACAACCATTGTTTTTTCAAAGATAACATTACAATTTTTTATATAATATTACCTTTAACTATTTTTATTGTAAGTTATTTTTAAGCTACTTATATGAAAATTCTTAATGATTATAAAAAATAGTTTCATGTTTTTTTATTAATTTAGGATTACAGTTTAGGTTTAACACTATACTTTATAAATTTTAACTATTTATAAAATAGTCTCTCGATTGTTTTCAAGTTTAACTGAAATTTTGATTTAACTTAACCGTTTAACATTATATTGTAACATCCGGATTCCCAGGTATCTTATTTTAGTTATTTATTTTGGGTTTTATGGAGGGACTCGGCGAGTAGACGCTCAGACTCGCCGAGTAGGATCGCGAGTTCTTGACTGGATTAATGACCGAACTCGACGAGTAGATACGTGGACTCGGCGAGTCCGCGCTGTAAAGTGAAACCCTAAATCCCCGGGCCTGTGCCCTATTTAAAGGCCTTTATGGCCTCCATTTGCGGCCAATGCACCCCAGAGAAACCCTAGAGAGAGCAGTGAGAGAGTTGAGAGCAAGAAGAGGCTAATACATCACTTTTGGTGTAGTTTTGCTAGAAGGAAGAAAGAAACACCCATCTAGAGCGTGAAGGGAGCTTGGATTTGGGCTAATCATCTTGAGAGTTCATCTCTGGAGGTATAATCCCTTCTGTTTCGTGTTGATATGATAGATTTCATGATTTTAGGGTTTTTACCTCCATTTTATGTAAGATCTAGTGAGTATGAGGCCCCCTTTGTGTTAATAGCATCAGATCTGGACCATGAGAGGTCCATAGAGTCACTATCCCTCAGCTTTATGCAAGCAAATGAAAGATTGGGGACTAGGTTGCCATTTTTAGAGTTATTTCTCTATTTATGACTTGTTATGGGTTGCATGCACGTAAAGGTTGCACCTTTACGTGACATTTGAACATTTAAAGGGTAGATCTGATAGTTAGGGAAGCAGATCTGACCTTAGGAGGTCATTTGAGGATGAACATGGAGGCAACTCGCCGAGTCCATAAGTGGACTCGACGAGTCGAGTCGGGGTTGCCCCGCGATTCGTGACAGGTGTAACCCGTCGAGTGGAAGGATGACTCGACGAGCCAAGAGAGGCTGAAAGGATTCAGAGGACCCGCATGGACTCGCCGAGTCGCCCTTGTGCACTCGACGAGTCGGGTCAAAGTTGACCGTTGACTTTCGTTGACTTTAGGGTTCTGGTCAAGACTGATTCAGGAGAGTTCAGGGAAGGGTAGAATGGCCTTCTACCCAATCTGTAGAGATGAGATCATGAGTGAATATTGATCGGGGATGTTATCTGAATAATAGGAGGAGACTAAGTCGGGACGTTGAGCACGAGAGTTTATCCGACTTCATTGAGGTGAGTCTTCTCACTATACATTACCTAGAGTGGTATTTATGTGTAGACCAGAGGGTCTTGTATGCTATGTGTATATATATGAGTTATGTGCATTGTGTTGTATGTATGCTATGTGTTGAACAGACCGGCCCGGAGGGCCCAACGATATAGACCGGACCGAAGGGTCCAACGACACAGACTGGACCGAAGGGTCCGACGAGCTATGACCGGACCAGAGGGTCCAACGAGCTACGGGACTGGAGGGTCCCGCTGAGACACATCGACCAGAGGGTCGTATTGTAGCATCGAGTGGCGTATGTGTTGCATGTGGTATTTTGGGGAACTCACTAAGCATTTATGCTTACAGTTGTTGTGTTATGTGTTTCAGGTACTAGCGAGGATCGAGGGAACGCGCCGGCATGATCCGTACACACTGAGAGGATTTATGTATTTGAGGATCTTGGGATTTGTTTATTGAGATAACATGTGTTACATTGGATTACTATGATATTTTATGAATGAGAGTATGTTTTTAAAATGAAAAATTGTTTTGGAAATTACGTCGTTACATATATTGAAATTAATAATTTAACTATTTTGCATAAAATCATAAATTATACCAAAGTTGTGACTTAAAAATGACAATATTTTTAATACGACGACATATTTGAACTAATAAGTTAACTATAATATGTTAAAAAGTTAAAGTCATAATTTTATAAATAGAAGTAAAATATGATATTTTAATATTGTAGTTTAGTTAATTTATTATTAGAATTTTGTTTTGGCATTAATTTAAAATTATTAACCAATTTATAATAATTATTATAAATAAATTGAAAAGCGATAGAGGTTTCAAATGCACGTGGTGCAAGTAAAAATGCATCTTTTATAAATTTATAGACATATAAATATAGATAGATATAGATATATATAAATATAAATATATAGATATAGAAGATTCATTTGATTTTAACGTTGATATAAATAGTTGTATGTATTTTTAGTTTATTTGTTTGTACAGATAAATGATTATTGATGATGGAAAGAATATATCACTTTATTCAGTAACCCTTTTAACTCGAAGTTTCTTTTTATAGCCACATGCGAAAAAAAACTTTTCATGCATCAATCAGTATCAAATATAAAAGTTATTTAACACAACTCATTAGCAGTTTTAGACTCACCTTATGCATATGTTTAGTCCCCTGAGAACACGGCAATGTACTATCCTCAAGTGAAAAATATCTAACATGTTTAGTGGATTTAACTATATACTTCATCAAAAAATTGTGAAGTGAAGGATTCTTGTTTTTAAATAACAAAAGTTGTGATTCTTTTACTAATCGTGTTGTTAAAGTTTATTCATTGGTTTGGTACTACTCTTGGATGATGCCCTATTTTTTGTATCATATTATACATTTTCATGGAAAATGTCTTTAACATTGTAGCCAAACGTGATATGTTAATGCCAAGTTACCATAATTAATAACGATGTCGAAATTTAAACGAAATCATAAATATAAAAATCAATTTTCATCATCTTAAGCAATTCAAAGTTAACCACTTGGGTTGTGGTGACTTTGTAAGGTATGTGGAAGATATGGTGAATAATATATTGACTCATGTTCAAATCATGTCACTACTTAGCACATGTGGTCATGAAGGTTCTTCTGGAATGATTCCAAAACATAAGACATAGCCTCATGTTTGCAACAGATAATTAATCAGTGCATGAAACCCCGAAATCCTTGTTAAGGAAGTTTCATTTCTAGAAAAAAAAACAATTCAAAGTTATGTAAACCTAGTCCACATTGAATATATATCACCTTGTAGTACGAGGTGATGTAAATTATACTGCTACATATCTACTATGTTCTTTTAATATTTATATTAAAACCATCAACATGTACCTGTTAAATTTGTTTAAACTTATAAGCCAAATAACGTTGGTTCGAACTATTCACACGACTTCATCAAATTATAATACAATACAACAATTAAAATACATAAATCATTATCGTTCTAAGAAATTTAATTACACAAATTGCAACATGTTATGCTAATTTATATGACATGTTTTTTTAATAATATAATATAAATATTTATCATAAATCATATTATGTAACATTTTATTGTATTTATGTTATGTATAAAGTTATTTGTTAATGAAACTTTTTATAAAAAAAGTTAGTGGATGCAAGTATAAAAAATAGTTTATGAGGGTGGCAACGTGTAAATTTTGATGAACAGAGAGATAGACAGTGTTGCAGTCAAAGACTGAAAATCAATTGCACTTTGCCCATATCAATCATCATCAATATATCATCATCATCATCATCATCAAAAGGACAACACAAAGTCTCAAATCTTCTGCTGCTGCGATCCCCTCCCCTTCATGACCCATCGCTTCAAGAATCGACTCGCTCAACTCTTTGCTTTCTCTCTCCTCACTAACTTTCTCTCTCTAAAAATTCTCCCAACCTTCCGCCAAATCCTAACAAAAACCCTAGATTTTCTCAGGATGGATTCACTCTTTTTCTCCGCAGATGGCGGCGATGACGACTCGATGTTCGGAAGCAGCAGCACCGTCCGTTCAATCCAGAGTCTGTCCGACCTCGACGATGAGCGGCTTTATCTCGTTGATCACAGGTGAGTTTGATTGTGGCCCAATTGGTGTTTGATTTGGCAATGGAGTTGTTTTCTTAGTTCAATTTTGTCCTGAGATAAGCGTTGGTTTTTAAATAGGTATATGTGGATTGGTTCGTTGGATTTTCAGGTGGTGGAATGAGACGCGGGAGTCATTGTTTAGGGAAATCGATGGCGCTTTGTACGCCACAAGTTCTTGCTTTTCTGATGATTTTGAATCGGAGATTATTCTGGACATGAGAAGAAGTGAAATCGATAGTGATGGTTGCAAGGGAGAAGAACAAGGGGTTTCGGGGCGTGAATTAGCGTTGGTCTCGGAGTGGATGTTCTATCGAGCTCTTAAATGGTTAGGGTTTTTTTATTTTTATTCAATGAATTGCTCTTCCGTTTGCCTGTTTGCATGAATTTATTAGCTTTCTGACATGACTGTGATTCTTATAGAAGATTAGCTGTTGTTGGATTTGCATTATTATTAGCAAGTAGTCGCTATTTCCAATTTCAATTCGCTCTTATATGTAAATATAAGCAAACTTGGATCATTAGAATTCTGGTTTACATTAATAACGCATATGGTTCTATAGTTGCAGCAATGTATTTCAGTTGTTTCAACACTCATATCAAGGTTGGTGATTGAAGCTTATGAGTGATGAAACAACTGATATCATATGTACTACTATGCTAGTGCTTTAAAGATCTTTCCTATTGATAATGAATTAATGAAACCACCAATATTAACTAATGATAAGTAGTTTTAGCACTTCTCTTTACGTCATTGCACAAAATAGAAAGATACTTGTTTGTACTCGACACTCTTCTATTCAAGTTTTGTTATATTTAGAAAGATATGCAACTTCTTTGATGATTGGTAGTACTTCCTTTCAATACTATGCTCTTTCTTTCAGGCATTATGATATGAAGAATGTTGGGAACTTTGTAGCAGTAGAAGATAGCAAGGCAGACTTATTTCCTTTACAAATCAGTCTTTCAATTTCTGGAACAACAAATTCATTGGTTGTAAAGATTAACCAAAAGGTAATATAACTATTTTCTTGCTCATGTGAATATGACTATTTGTATTGTGTCTTCTAATCTGTGTTGTCATTTAGGGCAATGGGATTGGAGCTTTTGATAAATCCTGCCAAATATTCAATGTCAATTCTGGCTTGGTGAGTGACTTTTGACATTTTTTTTCTTTGACCTTTGACCTTTTTCAGGTCTTGTGGATGTTATTAAATGATTCCATATGTTTTGCAGGTGAAGATTTGGGATTTTTCAGGGCAAATAACCAAGTTTTTTTTACAAGGCAGAATTCTATCTGATAAATCTGAACTAATGAATGCAGAGGTAGTTACTTTTACCAAATACCCTTTTATGAGCTTCCTATTAAAATTACTAAACCACCCTTATTTACTGCAATGCAGATTTTCTTAGAGTTACAAGTTTATGGTTTATCTTATGATATAATGCAAAACGAAAACGATATGTCAGTTGAAGACACGAATACTGAAGATATTTCTTCCAGTAGTTCATTGAAGTTGAATGGCCACTCTGAAAAAGTCAACTCATATCTCAGGGTTGACCATCCATTAATTACTAGTAACTTAAGTCAAACTTATAATTTGGGTTTGACCGGATTGTACAATCTTGGAAACACGTGTTTTATGAACAGTGCTATCCAATGCTTAGGCCATACTTCACATCTTGTTGATTATTTCCTTGGAGACTTCAGAAAAGATCTCAACTTTGAAAACCCACTTGGCGTAAATGTATGTATAGTTCGCATTTAATAAGTTTTCAGTTCTTGAAAAGTGAAATTACTAAAATACCCTTACACACATTTTGACCAGGGGAAGCTTGCTCTAGCATTTGGAGACTTACTAAGACAGCTATGGACACCAGGCGCTACTGCTGTGGCCCCAAGGGCATTTAAGTCAAGACTCGCCGGTTTTGCCCCTCAATTCAGTGGCTACAATCAGCATGATTCCCAGGTTGGTCATCCGTAACTTTTATAATTACGAAAATACCCTTATTGATATATTTTTGGATATAGGAATTTCTTGCTTTTCTACTGGATGGACTCCATGAAGATTTAAACCGCGTTAAAATCAAGCCTTATAATGAGATAAAGGACGTGGATGGAATTTCAGACAAAGAAGTAGCAGATGAACACTGGAGGAATCATTTAGCTCGAAATGATTCCATAATAGTTGACATGTGCCAGGTCAGCTTTCGAATATATTATTTCCATAACATATTATTATGTTTGAAAGAAGCAATAATATAATATTATTTCCATATTTTCAACAGGGGCAGTATCGGTCAACTTTAATATGTCCTCTTTGCAAGAAACATTCAGTGACATTTGATCCATTCATATATCTATCTCTACCCTTACCTTCAACATCAATGAGAACCATGACATTGACAGTTTTAAGCACTGATGGAACAACTTTACCAATTCCAGTTACTGTAAATGTTCCTAAATATGGAAAGTTTAAAGATCTTATTCAAGCATTAAGCATCGCGTGTTCTTTAAGAGATGATGAGACTTTGCTTGTTGCTGAGGTATCTACATAATTACATCTACAAACACATAAGATTAAAGTTGTTAATCTATATAAAGATTAATTTTTTTGAAATGTTTTGCAGATATACAACAACTGCATTATTCGTTTCTTGGAGTTGGATACACGTAATGACTCATTAGAGCTGGTTAGGGATCGTGATTGTTTTGTTGCTTATAGGTTACTTAAAGAGGAAGATTCATTGCCCTTGGTTGTCTTTACTCATTGGCGCTATGAAATGTAAGTTTTTTTAATTATTTGAGATAAAATGACAATAATGCCCTAGTTTAAATCTTTATTTGATATACATTTATTTAGGTCATATCTTGAAGGGTTGCCAGTTTTGAGAAAGTTTGGGATCCCATTTGTAGCAAGGGTACCTGAATCCACTAACGGTTCAGATATCCACAACAAATTCCTTAAATTACTCCATCCACTTGTAATGCCCGAGGAGTTTTCTTTAGATTATCCCGAAAATACCCCTGATCAACAAGACACTACTGAAATGGATGTTGATGAAAAGCCAGTTGATGATAATGATAATGATGATGATTCAAAGAGTGAAGGGTTTCGATTCTATCTGCAACAGCAAGGGCATTATTCAGAGGGGCCCACAATTATAATGGATGAACAGTTATTAATCCCGGAATCGCGTATAATTTCTGTTCGTGTCACGTGGCCTGATGAAATGTTGAAACGATACGATACTTCCATTTTGAGTAATTTACCGGAAACAGGCGGGATTGCGTTAATTACCAAAACGCCCCCGGAATCGGTCTCGTTGTATAAATGTCTTGAAGCCTTCTTGAAGGAAGAGCCATTAGGACCTGAAGACATGTGGTAGGTTATGTCATCCTACTAATCTATTTACAATTAGAGTAAAATTACGTAAATGGTCCCTGTGGTTAGCCAAACGTTACGGATTTGGTCCTCGTCATGAAAAATTTAACCTTTTTTGGTCCCTGAAATCACGTTTCGTAACACCCTTTACTTGTTTCTGTTAAACCGAAAAGGCATTTTTGTCAAATCCCTAAAGGGATTTGACAAAAATACCCTCAGGAATGGGTTTAACAGAAACGTGTAAAGGGAGTCCGACATAAGAACGAGATGTGTTACGAAACTTATTTTAGGGACCAAAAAAGGTTAAAATTTTCATGATGAGGACCAAATACGTAACGTTAGGTTAATCACAGGGACCGTTTATGTAATTTAATGATATAGTCATGGTAAGATGAAAATATGTAATTGGTTTAATAAATTTTCAGGTACTGTCCGAAGTGCAAGGAGCATAGACAAGCTAGCAAGAAGTTGGATTTATGGAGATTGCCTGAAATTGTGATAATTCATCTAAAAAGATTTTCGTACAATCGGTTTTTGAAGGACAAATTGGAGACTTTTGTTGACTTTCCAATTGATGATTTTGATGTGTCGAGTTATACAGTGGAAAAAGATAAAGATAACCAATCGTGTTTTCGTTACAAGTTGTATGCAGTGAGCAATCATTATGGTGGAATGGGTGGTGGTCACTACACCGCTTTTGCAAAGGTAATTTTTTTTTTTGGATTAATTTTAAAACAAGTTTATAAAAAAAATTGTGAGTATATTACATTTTTGTTCCCTGAGGGACCAAAAGTGTAATTTAGTTGTTTAATTATTTTGTTGGTGATGCGATGCAGTGTGGAGAGGAGTGGTATGAGTTTAATGACAGTCAGGTGTACCCGATTAGTGAAGACCAAATCAAGACATCTGCAGCTTATGTTCTTTTTTACAAGAGAGTTTAGGAAGTTATTGTGGGCCCAATCCCAGTGTAGATTTCTGGCCAATTAATTACATACAAAGAGAGAAAGAGAGATATAGATTAAATTTTAAATTTTTTTTTTCATTAAAATGAGGATGGTGGTGTGGTTGCTAGTACTTGTACATGGTATACTTTAGATTAGACTTTTAAAAGTTTTTGGAGTTGGCCACCACAATTTGTTTGGAGTCTAACAAGCTTTTTTGCTTGCTTTTTGACCCATGTTTTTTTATTCTTATAGAAATTGCAACCTTTTGGTTTGGTTTGACTTTTTTTTTGTCGACCTTTTTGATGGCAGATCATTTTAAATTGCTGATGGCTATAATTGTTGATTAATTAATATTTTTAGTATTATTATTGGTTTTTTAAGTTTGTTTATAAAGTTTTGATATTAGAAATTACAATGTATTTTTTGATTCATTAGTAAAGAAGTGCTCAATATTCTCGGTTTGAGTAGGTCATTTACGTCTTTATACAACCAATAAATCAATAGCTAAATCTTGGTCCCACTTTATAGGCGAGACAAAAAAGTTAAAATTGTCCTATTGATACCAGTCGCATCTATAATCCAATACACAACAAACACATTACAAGGTCATAATGTCATGTCATGTGTAGGCGTACCTTATAGTGTATGGCTATGAATATCTTCTAATAGTTTTTGGATGTGTGTCAATAATAAGTTTTATTGTTTGAATTTCTAAGTATTTAGGGTTAATAGTTGTGTCTATAAGGAAAGAACATTATGAATGATGGTGTTCATTATGGCAACATAAGGGTTGAGCGGTTATAGTAGAGGGTGGCCACGTGAGTTTTGTGCGACAAGGTGTCAATGAAACCAAAGGAAACATTCTATATTGTTGTTTATTTTTTTAACAACGGAATCACATTAAAACAAAACTAGCAAGACGCTAGAAAAGTTACAACATACAAACGAGAGAAATAGGAGAATTACACCAGTCAAACCAATTTAAAGAACTAAACCTGCCTCTATATTCCAACCAATTGAAAGAGATTAACTGAATATCAGTTCAACTCCATTGGGTTGCTCCTGAAACTTTTGAAAACTAAAGCATTTCTAGTCTTCCATATGCTTCATAAAACCGAATATGTGAGGGCCCATAGCAATCTCTTCCTTTTCTTATTCAACACCAATGCCTTTATCACCCCCAACATGTCAGAAACATCCATAGGAGTAGATTTCAATAACATCGACCAGTTACAAAAACCAATTCCAAACCTTTTTATGCAAAACTACACTTAAAAAACAGATGTTCGACATCTTCCTGTTCAATACCACAAAGAGACGATAGCAAAGTCACACCTTTAACAACAAGGTTGTCGGCAACTGGGATCCTGTTTAAACATAAACACCAGACAAAACAATTCACTTTTAGAGGAGCCCAACCCTCCCAAAGAAAAGGAAACGCGCCTGAGACTTCTTCCGCAGTAGCCATCAAGTTACGTAAATTTTGAACCGTAAAACCACCCGTCTCGTTACCTTTCCAGACCCACGGATCATCTATTGTGGCTTATAAGGTCAGTTTTAGTCTATGGATCAAAATATTAGCCGGTTAACAAAGAACATAAATGGAAGATGGAAGTTCTTATAAATATAAACGAGGATGTTACAATGAACATGTAATATAACAATGTTGGATAGGATATGGGACACAACACTAAAATTTCGTTAGGAATGACGTTGATCATCAAGAAAGTAAGGGAATGAAGATTGTGGTGGTTAAGACATGTATATGAGATATACGAGACAATTGATGGCTACAGTTAGGTTGGTTAAGATAATCAGTCTTAACCATATATCACAACAAGGAATGAAGGCAATAGGGACGACACATGTCGTCACTAAAACCCTAGAAAATCGTCGCTAAAGGATTTAGCGACGACATGTCGTCACTAATAGGTCGTCCCTATTGCCGCGTAGCTATTGCTCATGAATCGTCACTAATGTCAATGTCGCCTCTTTTGGTGTCGCCCCTATTGATATATGTCGCCCCTATTAGTGTCGCCTCTATTTCTCATTAATTTTTTAATAAAAAAATTATTGCCTACAAGATTACTCTATGACCAACTTGTTCATCTTTCATGGAGTTCGTCATTTTTCTATATCTATTCCTTAAAAAGGTTCAAGAATACAAAATAACGACAAAATAAAAGAAATAACAAACACAAAATAAAGAAAATAAATTATTGACAAGCTTACAATGTTTACATCCATTTTTATATCTAAAAAATCCACAAAAATTATTAACTTTAACATTACAAAAATTCTATTATTTTAACTCTCATAAATCCCTTTCTCTATAACTTTCTATCTCTCCATTTCATAAATTAAAACCCAGTGAAGGCGGTGCTAGAAGGTGGCTGATATCGATTGACGATGAAGATGTTGTTTGATGATGGTTGATAGCGGAGAACGGTGGAAGATGGGTATAGTTGTGGGTTTTCTGGTGGTGTTTGATGGTGGAAAATAGTGGCAGATTATAAGGTGGTTCTAGTGGTGGTGGATGGTGGCCAAGGTTGGTGGTGGTAGCGGTTGTAGTTAAGTTTTTAGAGAGAAGTGAGAGAATACGAGAGAGAGGGGGGGAGAGAGAGAGAGAGAGAGAGAGAGTGAGTAAGTATGGTGGTAGATGGTATCCAAGGCTGGCTTATCAGATCACGAGAACATAAGCTAGACCATTGGATTGTTTACAAGATGGAGGGTCCGGATTACACAAGAAGAGAGCACACGGATCGTGAGCAATAGTGGCGACACTATTAGTGACGACGAGAGTATTAGAGGCGACATTTGCAAAGCATTAGCGACGATATGAAAAATATGGGGGGAAAATACCGCGGTCTTTTTTCGTCGGCATTAGTGACGACACCAATAGGGGCGACAATAGGCATTAGTGACGACATTCCTTGGTGTCGCCACTAATGCATGCGTCGTCCCTATTGGTGTCGTCACTAATGCCCTGATTTCTTGTAGTGTATAGATGACGTCCGAAAAGAAAATGAGAAGATAATGTGAAGTTAAACTTAAAAGAGTTGGTTTGACCGAATACATGAGCTCATATATAAAAGTGTGTGAAATCTTAAAATCACACAACTGAGTAGAATAGTAGACTAGTAGTCCAATTACTAGTTTCATATTCATTCTGTGTTTTTGCACGACACCATTTATTGTTTCATAATTGACTTCTTTACTTTCAACTTTTACTGTTATTTGCTTTTTGTTTTTTACTAATATATGTTTTCGTTGTCTATACACTAATAATACACTATTTATGTGTTTATTTTTTTTCCCTCTCGACTTTCAGCTTTATTACTGTAACCTATTTTTATAAGGGTACTATTGTTTTTTTTCTCTATTATGGAATGGTATGGATTGAGTTTCTTATTATTATTATTATTATTATTATTATTATTATTATGTCCCTCATCCAGGGTCGGTCCAGACGGTGGGCAACTCGGGCGACCATCCAGGACCCACGTCTCCCGGGGGCCCAAAATTTTTGGGCTATGTAGTGTATATATATAAAAAATTATTACCTAAATGATTTTTAGGGCCTAAAGATGGTTCAAACTCAAACTAGCTCAAAAGATAAACAATTTGACTTGCTTGTTATTGCTAATTGAACGTGTTTATAATGAAGAATAAATGATATTTTTTTTTTTGAATCTTTATTATATTTGTCTTTAAGGGGTCATTTTTTTTCTTTTCGCCCCGGGCCCCATATACGTTTGGACCGGCCCTGCCCTCATCAATAAAAATGGTAAAAAAAATCGGTTGTCTACATCACACAAAATGGTTATTTAGGTTGGAAGGAGCGTGGCGGGAAAGGACAACAGGAAACGAACCCGCACCTCGGAACACTACACCGAGGGTGCGGGAAGGGGTGAGGGGAATGCTCCCTGCGTGCTCTCTCCTCCTCTGATTGGTCAAACTTTTTTTTAATATTTATTAAATTATATACCTACTAAAAAATTATAAAAGATATATCAAAATTTATGGTTTTTAATTCATGACAAAATGAGTATAATATTTGTATAAAATATATATTTTTAAAAAAAAAATATATATATATAGTGAAAGATGACTATTTCCTACGTTTTAGTGAGGAAAAAAAGAATAAGAGAAAACTAACGAGAGGAAATTAAGGTGACACTCAAAAGCCAAAGAAATAAAAAAATAAAAGAAAACTACTGAGATACTCAAAAAGTGAAATATGCTTCGTATACCCTCGGGTCTTATAGTTTTATACCAATTCAACAACTAAACGTTAACTTAAACGGTCTAAAAATAATGAAAAAGAAAACAAAAAACAAAAACTAGATCATAGTCATAACAATAATAAACAAATACACAGGGACCATTATGTAGTTTAACCCTTTGTTTCCTTGTTCAGTTGTTTTCCCAGCCGCATAATTAAATCGTCGTCCTCATCCATCTTCTCCGTGAACGGAATCTTCCATCGCCGCCGTCCATCTTCCCTGAGGAAGTCAGGTAATAAGTCGCACAAATCTCCCTCTTTCTCCCATGAATTCGCTGCTAGACTGTCGACAGTTGACCTCCATATTTGTATTTGGTTCTCAATGTTTTGAATCGATATCGAACTGGTCATGTAAACCATGTGTAGATCTAGAAATCGAATATGGAAACAAAAAAACTACTCTACCATTCACGATGTCAGCTTTCATTATAGTGATGTTGCTTACTTGCATTGCACATAAGGTGTTTGATGAAATTCCTGACTGAACTCTTCACAATTTTGAAGTGGTAGTGTACAACATCTGCCTAATGTTACATTTTTTTTTTCTCAAAAAGACATGATCTTTCCCATTAATTACCCAAGTATATATATATATATATATATATATATATATATATATATATATATATATATATATCATGTTATTCATCTTTTTGCTGTTTCTATGACGCATTACAACAGTTTCTGGTATTGTTTTAAGATCCAGTTATACCCAAAAAAGATTGAGAAAAATGACATCAACCGAGGGAGACAAATTGTTGCTAAGGGGGCTAATGTTCCATGGGTATCATGGTGTCCATCAAGAGGAAAAGAAACTCGGGCAGAAGTTCATAATAGATATAGACGCTTGGATGGATCTTCGGGCACCCGGGCAGTCTGACAACATGTCTGATACAGTC